GCGGCGTAATTACTGATTTGATTCCAATCCATTATTTAGACAATTGAACCTACAATCTCGTCTTTAGTAAAATGAGGCGAAGTCAGATTTGATTACAGGTTCAGTCCCAGCGACAAGAGCTCGAAACCCGATGGGTTAATAACAGATCACGAGTAAATTATTCATGATTTTACGAGCTCTTTAGCTCCATTGAATCGGCCTAATTGAGAGGAAAAAAAAAAAAGAAGGGAGAGAGAGAGAGAAAGCTTGGTCCTTCCCCTCCCTTCGGCCCCTTGCTCCTCCCCGGATCCGATCCTGGGGAATCTCCACCCAGCCCTGGAGCTGGGGGCTGGAGTGAGGGGGCCTGGGGCACGAACAGATCTGGGCCCAGTGGCGGCTTCTCCGCCCCCAGCACAGCCCCCTGATTCAGCCACTGGCCAGCTTAGGCCTCCCTACCTTGGGCCAGCTCCTTCTCTGCCCTCTCATCCTTTCCCCTCTTTCCCCTTTTCACCACTTCCCAGCCTGTAACAGCTTTGGAAAGGCCTCCCTACAGGGACCCAGTCTCTCTGAGACCCTAGGATTCAGTTCCTTAACCTGTACCCTGCATCACACAACATCCCCCCTATTCCCGGGCCTCACTGTCCCCTCAGGCTCTCTCTCTGTCTCTCCTGAGTTCTTACTGTCTTTGTAGCAGTGTCTCTCTGGTTCTCCCCATCTCCACTGCTTTCTTTCCTGTCTCTCCTCTCTTTTCCCTGGCTCTGTCCATCTTTCCTCCCTACCAACCTTCCTTTTCTTTCTCTTCATTCTGTCTTTCTACATCTGTCTCTTTCTCTCCTTTCTCTGCCCTTTCTTTCTCCTCCCCTGAAACACCTCCCCCCATCTAAGCAACACTCAGGGCACGTCCCTTGGGTGAGTGGGGCGCCCGGGTCCCCATGGAGCTCATTAATAGCAGCAAGGCCTAGGTGGGGGCTGGGCAGAGGGATGGGCCCACAGATCCCCTATGGGGAGCCCTGCCCCACCCCCCCTGTGGAGCTGGGGACTTAGGGGCATGAAAAGGGTCTGCTCCCCACAGCAGGGGACAGGGCAGTTTCCATGGATCCCATTTGGAGTCATGCTCTGATCCCCTTTAAATTGCTGGATCCCCATTCTTCACTCTGGGCGCTGTCAGTGGGAGTACAGCACGGGTGGAGGACTTGGGTGCCTGGGTGCATCTGGGAAGGGGCCCTTAGGAAGTGTAGCCACTTGCTAACAGCTCCAAGGTTAGGGACAAGACCTGCATCTTACAAATATTTTCTGCAAAGGACTCCTTCTCAGTTGGGCAGGGGAGGATTAGGTCACCAGAAGAGCAGGAGTATTTCTGAGGTAGAAAAAATGCAGGACTCCCAGTTAAATTTGAATTTTGGGTAAATGACAAATTTTTAGTGTAAGTGTATCCCATGCAACATTTGAATTTTAAATAAACAGTGAATAATTTTATAGTATATGTGTATACTATGCAATATTTGAATTTTAGGCAGAAAGCAAATCAGTTTTTAGTATAGGTATGTCCCATACAATATTGGAGACATCATACTAAAAAACTGTTCATTGTTTATCTGAAATTCAAATTTAACTGGGGAACCTGTATTTTTCTTTGTTAAATCTGGCAGCTCTATCACGGGCATGTGATGAGACAGGAGTTATCTCTCCAGTTGCCCACTTTAGGCAGACTGAATTAATCTCCTGTGAGGCGTTTCCCAAAGTAAGGCCTAATGTGTGGGATGGCCCAGGATTGGAAGAGAGGATCTTGGAGAAGGGTCCTGCATGTCCCCATCAGCCGCCAGGTTGCCAAGCAACTTTCTGAGGTTTCTACCCTTCTTCCCCACCCCCAGTGCCTTCCAGGCTTTGGCAGCCAGGTCCCAGCTGGGCCCCTTCTGGATGGGGACGGGCTCCCCAAAGAGTCATACTTCATCTTTGCCTGCCTTTGTGATGTAGTGGAAAGAAACTGCAAGGGTTGCAGTGCTGAATCTAGGCTCAGCCGTTACCAGTGGTGTGGCCATGTGCCGATGGCTTCATTTCCCTTAGCATTAGTTTCTTCATCTCTGAAATGGGATGAATAGTAGTAACCACCTCTTAGAGTAGTAAAGGCCCCATGATCTACGGAGAGCCACAGGTATACCATGGGTGTCAAATACATGTTGACTTCTCCCTTCATCTTCCTCCCCTTTCCGGTTAGAACTCTGCTACTCCATGAGATTTCCAAAGATCACTTAACCTCCCTGCCTCATTCACCTCATTTGTAAAACTGGGAAGCAACTGCCCTACAAGGCAGTGGTGAGGATTAAAGTTCAAAGTACAATTTCCAACCTTCAGCCCAGTGCCTGTTGCCCAGGGCCTACGGGTCGTGCAGTACTTCTAGGTGTGGAAACTGATGAGGGTGGAATGAAAGTGAGTGGAGAGTAAGGAAAGTAAGTGGAAGTCTGTGATTTCCAGGTGCCTGCCCCAAATACTGGGCGGGGGTGCAGGGAAGGGGGAGACTGGAGATTGCATTCCTCCATAGAGAGTGCAGGGGGAAAGAGGAAGATGGTGGGCCTGCTGTGCCCGCAGTCGGGTGACTTCCCTTTCTGAGCCTCAGTTTCAACATTTGTAAAAAGGGGGAAATAATACCTGGCTCAGAGGGTTGTTTTTAAGGACGAGAATGTGCATGTGAAGCCCTTTAGCGCATCATCTGGAGTTTAATAAGCCATCAACAAGTTGTAGCTGCTGCTGCTGCTGTTATTGTTATTATTAATTATTATTATTATTGTAACATGATGGCTCAGAATGGTTTTTGGATTCTCCTAGAGCTGGGTTTGAATCCAGCATTTCCTAGCAGAGTGACCCTGGGCAGATGGCTCCCCGAACCTCAAATTTGCCTGTAAATCTATAAAATGGGGATAATATCTCCATCCCAGCAGGGTGCGGTGCCTGCAGTGTGGTCCAGAGGCTAGAAACACTTGGCACTGGTGGGGTGGGTGTGGACTTGGCAGTGTAGTTGGGGCCGGGCCAGGAGGTTCACCTGCTGCCTCTGCGTCCCCTCCCCAGCGCTGAGCTGCAACGAGAACGATGCGGAGCACCTAGACCGCGACCAGCCCTACCCGAGCAGCCAGAAGACGAAGCGCATGCGCACCTCCTTCAAGCACCACCAGCTTCGGACCATGAAGTCTTACTTTGCCATTAACCACAACCCTGACGCCAAGGACTTGAAGCAGCTCGCACAAAAGACGGGCCTCACCAAGCGGGTCCTCCAGGTCAGCCGGCCGGGGCTGGGGGTAGGGGCTAGGGCCTGGGGTGGAACCCCACCACAGCCATGGGCCTTGGAAGGACGTTCTGCTCTGTCTGCCTATCTCTTTGTTTATCTTTCTCCGTTCTCTTTCTCCATCTCTTCTGTCTGTCTCTAGCCGTATTTCAATCTTTTTTTTTCTAACTTTGTCTTCTTTAAGTTTGTCCCTCAGTGTTTCTGTTTTGTGTCTGTGTGCCCCTCTGCCTCTTTGTCTACACAGTCTCTTTTCTTTTTTGTAAGCACTTCTTAGTTGCTATTTATTACTCAAATGACACTCAAATATGTTCATGTTGTAAAAGGTTCAAGCATTTCAGATAAATCCACAGCTCCCCTCCCCACCTTGGCCCCTCATGCCAGGATGCCTGTCCAAGGCAACTGCTGTTAGCCATTTGCTCCTTCTGCTTCTTGCTCCTCACTTGCTCTCTCTCGTTTCTTTCTTTCTGTCTCTCTCTAGATTTTCCTTCTGTTTCTTTGTTGTTTCTCAGACTCTTCCAGAAGCAGGGTTTGGTGAGGGAGGGTGATTAGGGCGACCTCCTGGGTGGAAGTAGATGGGCGCCTCTGAAACCTAGCAGTATTGCACTTGTATGTGAGAGCGATTTCTTGATAGAGAGGATCCAGAGCTTTCGCCAGATTTCCCAATGGTCTGTCATCCCAAAGATGTAAGAACCCCAGTTTGGGGAGTCCCAGGTGCCTGTAAGACTTAAACTCGTGGCAGAGCCTGGGGCTACTTCTGAAATCTTCAGCTCCTCTGCTAACTCATTTCCTGGTCCGGGGCAAGTCACTTAACTCCTCTGAGCCTCAGTTTCCTTACATGTGAAATGGAAGAAGAAACTTATTCACAAGAAATTATACTGCCCGCTTAATTGTAGGAGCCACTGAGATAATGCAAGTGTCCGTCACAGTAGCTGACACTTAACCGCTCAGTGGATGGAAGCTAAGAATGACATTAACTAGATTAACTGACTGATATTAACTAATACAAACAATTATTCTGGGGCTAGACTTCAATTTCCCTAGCTGTACAATAATAAGATGGGAGAATATCTCCTTTTACATCAAGTTTAACCAATTTATTCCAGTGTGTGGTTGTAGGGTTAACAGCGCACATTTTGGGGGTGAGAAAATTGAGAGTTGAAGGGATCTGACCGTCAGGAGGAGTGGTGCTGGGATTCCAGTGCAGGCCAGTCTGACCCGCCCTCCAGCTCCAGGTCTTCCGAGAATGAGGGGCGGGAGGTGGGCGGCAGCACCGACTGGGTGAGGACGAGGGGCCCTGAAGGCTGTGAAACTGCCGTAAGTTTTCTTGCGAGTCTGTCAGAATTTTCAGAAGAGCATTCTGGGAGTGATGGCGGTGGCAGGGATGGGACTGACGGCGGGCCAAGGTCCCGGGGAGTTGGGGGCCCCAGGCCGCCTTGGCCCGGCTTCCAGCGAGGGGGTTTTGGGCAGCTCGGTCTCGCTCGGCTTCGGTGACGTAGCAGAGGGATGTGAGGGGCCGCCAATGGGGCGCCGATGCGCCTCTCTGGGCCCGCCCCGCGCCCTGCGGCTCCGTGCGGACCCCGCCCCTCCTGTTTGGGTCGGTTTTGCCCGAAGGTCGCTCTAGCTTGGGTTCCAGAAGGGACGGGGATACTGCTGCGGCTGTGTGCGTCTCGGATCCCGCTGGTCCGTTTCCCTCGGACTTCACCTTTTGGGGTTTAGGTCAGGGGACCCTCCATGGCGCCCCCTCTGTTCCTCAGCTCTGGGCGAATTTGGACTGAAGACCTGCGGTCGCCGCGTTTTCTCTGGTTAGTAGTCCCCTCCTCTGTCTAGATGCCGTTATGGTGAGTTGGCGACGGGGAGGAGTCCGTGAATCAAGTGCCCGGAGCAGGGGCTTGAAGTTAGGCAGAGCTGAATTCCGTTCTGCCTGTCTACTCACTGGTGGTGTGTGTTGGACAAATTAGTTACCCTCTCTGTGCGGTAGCTTTCTTATCTGTAAAATGGGCACCATTAGGGCATGTACTTCACCAGTTACCCAGATTCAGTAAAATAAAGAGTAAGTGCCCATGGTGGGGTCTGAATCTGGAGTGAAGAGCTGATCTCTGCTGGCCTTGGTAAGGCAGGAGGCTTGATTTAGGAGCCCATTGGAGTTCCAGAATCGTTATCTCTCATTCTTTTATCTGACCAAATACCTAATGGCACTAGGCCCTGGGGACACAAAGATGAATGAACCACAGTCCTGGCCCTGAAGAAATTTACCTATTAGGTGCCGAGACAGACCACAGTCAGTTTCCCTATAATGTGATCAGTTGGGAGAGGGGGTTGTGCAGGAAACCAGGGGAGAGACCAACTACCTACCTACCCTGTATGTGAAGAAAGAGTCACCTGAATGACCTGGATCTAGGCTTGCCCCTCCCCCCCAGAATCCTGTTCACATCTGCATGTCCCCTCTATCATGGGGACTCAGAAAAGCCAGGGGCATGGGACTAGTTGAGAGAGAGAAGCACTGACATAGTGGTGTGTCTACTAATCCATAAATGTTTCAGCGCTCTGCTATGTGTCAGGTACTTTGAAAGGCCAGTGAAACACATTTGCTCATTGAGTCCTCATTATCAGACATCGTGATCCCTTCTCCTCCACTATACGGATAAGAACTTTGAGGCTCAAATGATTCCCACTTGCCCCACGTCACACTTTGCTGGTAAGTAGCAGAGCTGGATCCAAATCCAGGCCCGTCTGATGAGCAGGCATTGCACTTTCTCCTCTAAGCCAGCCCAGCAGTGACTACATCTGAGCGTGAGGGCTTGTACATTGTTGGCGTGAGGATGGCCATACCCTAGGGCACATCAGACCACTGTTTTCCCTCCTCCCAGACCTCCAGACCTCCTGCACAAATCCTTAATATTCCCTAACAGCACAACACTTCATGATGATGCAGCAGTTTGCAAAGCATTATCGTTCCAGCCACTGGTCTTCCTTAGCTTAATATGTTCCTGCCTATTTTATTGATGAGAAGCTTAAGAACTAGTGAGATGAAGTGATTTATTTGAGGATATGGGAGCCAGGCATTGGCAAGGTGGGGCTCTCTCCCAGGTGTTGACTACTGATGGGCTGGCTGAGGGAGATGGGATGTGGGCAGTTTGGAGCAAGGCAACTGGTGGTGTAGAAGGTAACATACAGATTCAGATCCTTTCTGACATACCAGCAGTGTGATTTGGACACCTTAATATCTCCTCTCAGAGTCTTATTCCTTGTCTTTGAGGTGGAGATATTGATAGTTTGTATCCTGAGGGTTCCTAAGGATTGAGACAATAAATGGGAGGCGCTACAGCATGCTGCCTGCTGGTACAATGTAGGTGCCCATGAAATAGTTTCTCATCACTGGCTACACCAGCTTCATGGTGCTAGGCCTTGGGTGCCCCCTGCAGGTTGTGGTCCACTTTGACCCTTCAGAGTGTGTGTCTGCATGGCAAGGGCAGGGTGGGGTTGAGGCTGAATTCCCAGAAGTGGATGACGTAGGATGTGTGTGTGCGTGTGTGTGTGTGTGTATGTGTCTGTCTGTCTGTCTGTCTAGGGTTCTAGGCTGTTATTGAATTTGTAATGTATGAGCACCACCAACATGGCAGGCCTGGGATGCAGTATCCCAGTATCCCTGCTGGAAGCTGGAGCTGATATGAGGACCAGACTCAGCCCTCCCACTTACTTCTGAGTGATCGTGAGCAAGTGGCTTAACCTTTCTGAGCCTCAGTAGCTTCAGCTATAAAATGGGGATAATAGTAATGCTTCACTAGGCAGTTGCAAGAAGTAAATAAGATGACATAAAGTATAATTTATAAAGTATGTATCAGGGACTCTGCATATTAACTTCACACACATTTACATAGTAGGGTTCAGTCTACCACCCCTTTTTGCACACATTTAAAAAATTTAATTATCTTCATTTTGCAGATGAGGTAACAGGTTCAGAGAAGCAAAAACCCTTGCACTGAATCTCACAGCTAACAAGTGATGAGGAGTCAAGCTCAGATTGGCCTGATTCCACAGCTCTTTCCAACACAGCGCAGTGTAGGGATTGTGATTCCCAGCACCCTCCGCCCTTGGATTTAGCTGCCGAATGAATGCAGCAGTACAGATGGGAGCAAGGGAAGGAGTGGGTCGTAGATGCCATGTCTTGGTAGGAAGCAGGAATTCTGTTGTGAAGCCCTATGTAAAGTGCATAAAAATGCTCAAAATTGTCATCAGCAGCATGACGCCCACCGTACTCACTTGTCATCAGTGGGCAAGGTGATCAGGAGGCAGAATGGCCCTTGGACAGAGGTCCATTTAGATATTAGGCTTTGCCAGTTCTTGGAGACCATTCCTCAGCACTTCCATGCACCTCTGAGTCACCTCTCTTCCTTCCCGGGGAACAGCCAGGAAGGCAGAATATTAAGATGCCCTCAGCTTGGGGAGGGGGCTAGTGAGCTGACTGACTGGGATGAGAGGAGATCTCCTTAGGGGTTCCTAGCGTGACTTTCAAAGAAAATACATTTTAACAACCAACAGTTTAAAAATATTCTTCAGATGACTAGTTAGTCATCATTAACCTGTATGAGAACTCAGGAACTGAGTACACTAGCTTTCCTCTGTTTGTTCACTTCTTCAACAAATGTACCAACCTGCCATGTTCTGTGCAGGACTTGCGGTGCTGAGAATTAAGTGGTGACCCTGTCAGTGAACAGTCCCTGCTGGAACAGACAGTCCAGAGGGGAGACAAAGTACAGCAAGATATTGTATAAATAATTAAAATGGTGATAAGATTAATCTGTATTTTTCCATATATTTGAAATAGCTCATCATAAAAAAAATATCTTTTAAATGATTCCAGGACCAAATAAGTTTGGGAAATGCTAAAGATTGTGTCTTTCTCTTGGAGATCAGAGTATGTTGGCAATCATACAGGCATTGAGAAATCTTGAAGAGATTCAATTTTGTCTCATCTAACATTTCCCAAGTGTATTTGGTCACATAACCCTTATTTAACTCTTGACAAAAATAAACTAGAAGGGCTAGGATGGAAAAGTATAGGGTTGCAACAAGAGCATAAAGATGAGGACCTGACCTAGGGAGGGAGGTAGTCAGGAATGGCTTCCCTGAGGAGGTGAGGTCTCCACTAGGGCCAGTAACTTCAGTTCCTTGGGCCTCAGCTTCCCCACCTGTAAAATGGGCAGAATGAGCATTATTTTGCTTGTCTCTTGCACAGAGCTGTAGGGAGTGTTTGATCTAGTGATGGACAGTTGGAGCTGGATGGAGTTTCGTAGATGATTTGGCCCAAATCTCTTTTTACAAGAGAGGAAACTGAAGCCCAGAGAGGTGGAGTAACTCGTCTAAGGCCTCACAGCAAAGTAGTTGTAGCCCTGGAGCTGGAACCAAGGGGTCATGATGTCCAGTCCAGTGCTCAGGATTTTTGGTTCTTTAAAGAAAACTTTTAAAGTTTATAAAACAATAGAATCACCATACAGACAGGTTAGAAAAATGGGGGGGGGGATTACCCTATGAGGACACAGGAAACCAATAATCCAGGCGTGTAGTTTGGGGGTTAAGTAGCGGGTAAGGACGAGGACCCAGTTGCTGGGATTCATGTCTCAGCTCCACATCTTTGGCTGGGCTCTGGGCCTCAGTTTCCTCACCTGACCATAGTATTAGTGCCGACTTTGTAAGACACTAATGGGAGTTCATACACGTAAAATGCTTAGAACTTTGCTTGGATGTTGCCTTGCACTTAGCGAGTGAATAATAATTCGTTGTTATTATTTGCTTTATGAACTTGCAATACCAGAGGACGTAGTTTTGTTATTTTTTTCCTTCACATGATGTCCACCATGAGACATTTCCTCTGCAACTGCATGGAGTGGCTGTGTCATGACTTCTGCGTGTCCCGTCTGGTTGGATGCTTTGGATACAGCCATTAGTTTTGATGTTATTAAAAAAAATGCCAGTGACATCCTTAGGCATGAAGCTTGTGTCTTTTGGCTGGTTTCCTTAGCAACCCAGGAGGGGATTTGCAGGTCAAAGTAGGTTTCCCACTGGCCCTCCTGGTCTCCTTGATGGAAGGGCCCCAGGGAGGGGATTTGTGAGCCCACAGGGCCAGTGGGTGTCTGAGGAGGTGGCACTCAGCCATGTGGGCTTCCTCATCCACCCAGGACTTACTGGGTTCCCCTGGGCAGCAGGCTGAGGCACTTCCTGCGGATGAAGAGAGAGGGCTGCTGGTGTTAGAAGATGGATAGGTGGAGCAGATCACCTTCCTTGTTGCAGCTGCCCTAGAATCCCAGCCTGCCAGAGCCCCAGAAGGCCATAGAGAGTGCGTGGGGTGGTCCAACCCTCCTGTCATACAGGTGGGGAAACTGAGGCAGACCCAGAGGTAAGAGACTAGCACAAGGTCACTTGGTTGGTCAGTGGCACAACCAGAACTGGAAGCTACAGCTGGTGCTCTTTCCACTGTACCACAGTTGCTTCTGTGTTTGTTCCCTCATTCATTCATTCATTCACTGATTCACTCACTCAGGATCATGTGGTAAGGAAACCATGGACTTTATATGACAGATAATCCTGGATTCCCGGATTCTAGTCTCAGCTTAGCCTTTGTGTGACCTTGTGCAAGTGCCTTCACCTCTCTCAGCCTCTCTGGTTTTAAATCTATAAAATGGGGATAATGGCAATCACCCCCTCCTTGGCCTATCATGGAGATAACCTGTGACTGTGCACGTCAGAGGGTAGCCTGGCGCCAGGCACGTAGAGATCTATAAAAGTTGTCTGTTACTATTACTATTGACTCAATGCATATGACTGATTCTTAATCTTTGCCAGTCCCTGTACCACATCCCCAGGGACATGAAGATGACTTAGACAGGGTACTTGCCCCAACAACCTCTTGGGAGGGGATTTTTTTTTTTAATACCCTGGAGAATTCTGGTGAAGCCTGGCTTAAGGTGAGAAACAAACTCAACACAAACCCCCACAGCAGCTGGCTTTTAGTTGAGTTGTTGACTTTCATCCACCAGATTCCCAGCGCCTCGGATCCAGTAAAGCAGAGAAGGCACTTGTGGAAGATGGTGTCATTGTTTACAAACCACTGTTAGGGGCAACGCCAGAGAAATAGCAAACAGCCAGTAACTAACTGGTTCCAGCCCTTCCCAAGGGCTTGGAGCCCCGGACCGATGGGCCATGAGCTGCCCCCGGGGCTGCTTGTTCCAGCTACTGCTCAGAGAGTCGGATGCACAGGGCACTCACGGAGCCACACACACTCAGGACAGGACGGTGGCAAGAGGTGACACCAAGACTCTGGCATTTCTCATCCCCAGTCTTCAAAGACACTTCGGGGAAGTCGCCTCCGTTCTCTGAGGGCCTCTTGGCGCTTCCTCCATCATTTTCTCCATCAGTCATTCTCTGGGCCAGAGAGACACGGAGTCTCACCCCTGCAGATTTCTGCAGGAGGGGCAGGGAAGGAGCCCCCACCCCCAAAAAGTGCCTGTTGAGGCTGGCCTTAGAGCGCTGGACTTATTTGTGAGCTCCTGGAAGAGGTGATGGGCTTGCTTTGGGCAGAAGGCCAGGGAAAATGTGCTTTCTTTCTGGAAAGACCCAGCGTGCTGGGGAGAGAGCTTTGTTTCCTGACTTGACAGGGTCCGTGTCTCCTTTACAACAGAATTCTTGAGGCTGTGCTTCTTAATTGAGCCCACGTGGTATCAGGCCACCAAATAGTGGGTTTGAGGCCACAGGCCTCTGAAGCTGGGGTGGTCCCTAGGGGAGGGTGGGGCCTGGCGTCGGCCCTTCCCATCCCTGTCTGAGACACTGGGAAGACAGCAGATGCAGGCACATCTGGAAATATGCAGCTGGACACCCCAGAATCTGTAAAATTCCCCAAGGCCCTTTGTTTTACAGGGAGCCTTTTGGAGGGTGTTTTCCTCACGCAAAGGGAAGTGAAAAGGCCCTGCCCTTTGGGAGACATAACTTCCCACCCTGTCCCCCTTCCCCCTAGGTTTTCTGGGCTTCTCCCGAAGTACTTTGAGTATCTCAGGGTACAGCTGGATCTCTGTGCAGTTCGACGGGTGGACGTCCTAGTTGGGAGAGGGCGCTGTGTAGGCGAGGTTTGATGCTTGTCTTCATGTGTACAGGCTTGTGGGCAGCGTTGTGGGTGTGGGTGTGGATGTGTGTGTGTGTGTCTGCGCCCAAGGGAAAATGAAAGCAAACCCTTATTCTCTTTCTTTGGCATTCCTTTCATACCAAGCTCAGTAACGTGGCCCACCCCCCCACCTCCCTCATAAATGGTACTGGGACGTGGCAGGTTGGGAGAGGGAATCTGCGGCTCACAACCTCCTGGGCCTTTCTTTAATCGGGCAGCTGTTCCCCCTCTGCCCACTCTGCCCTGAGACCTGAAACCCAGTGGTCCAGGATGCCAGCGGCTTCTCCAACGGATGGTGGTGGGGATTAAGATCCCCGTCTTTCTCTTCCTCTTAGTAACTCTTTGTTGACTGAGTCCTGTGTGTTCTTTTCACCATTCTAGTGTTTCCCAGACTTACCATGAAAAACTTAAAAAACCGCACCCATAAGAACTTGCGGGATCTCTTGCCTGCTTGAAAGATGACTGCCAAGAAACCCGAATCTCTCAACCATTGTGAAAAATGATCGAGATCTAGTTTGTGTGAATCTTCCAGAACATAATAGAAATGCAATGTGAGCCACATATGTTTAAAAATTTCCAGTAGCCACGTTAAAAAAATCAAAAGGAAACCCATAAAATTAATTTTAAGAATTTATCTTTTTGGCCCACTTTGTCCAATATATTATCATTTCAGCATGTAATCAAAATAAAACTTACTATTGAGATATTCAACCTCTTATTTTTTTCATACCAAGTTTTCAAATCTGTGGTTTCAAATCTCACCTACGGATCAGCCACTTTGGGGCTAGTCACGTTTCAAGTGCTGGGTAGCCAAGTGTGGCTACGATCCTGGAGAGTGCAGCTCAGCTCTGGAAACATCTTACAAAAGGGGAAACCCTGTAGCAGCCAATTAGAGGAAAGGACATTTTTATTGTATTAAGAACAAAATATTGGCAGCCTGACTTTTTAATCCCCATCCCCCACCCCATCGTTGAGACACGGATTAGCATCTCTGCGTTACACAGTCGGCTGCGGGAGGGGATGCTCAGCTCTTCTCTGGTCCTGCCCGGCTTCCTCTGACCAGCCCTTCCCTCTCCTCCACGCAGGTCTGGTTTCAGAACGCCCGGGCCAAGTTCAGGCGCAACCTCTTACGGCAGGAAAACACAGGCGTGGACAAGTCGACGGAGGCAGCGCTGCAGACGGGGACGCCGTCGGGGCCGGCCTCGGAGCTGTCCAACGCCTCGCTCAGCCCCTCCAGCACGCCCACCACCCTCACAGACTTGACTAGCCCCACCCTGCCGACTGTGACGTCCGTCTTAACTTCTGTGCCTGGCAACCTGGAGGGCCACGAGCCTCACAGCCCCTCGCAAACGACTCTCACCAACCTTTTCTAATGACTCGCGGCCCCCAGCCCCCGCCCCTGCCCCACAATTTCTTTAAAAAAGAAATTATCTTTAGTTGAATTCCAAGTGTATTTTAAAATAGAGGCTTTGAGCAACTAACTAACCACATTTTAGGATCTCGCCTGGAAACTGAGGAAGAAAATAATTGCGCGCCCGGCTGACGCAGCGGTGTGGACTGAGGAATTACTTGGAAGATCTGTCTGCAACACAACATTTGTGTCTCTGTACAGTTTTGTGGACTGAGCGAGGAAAAACAACAAATAATTTAAGTTGGCTAGAGCTTCTGTATTTTCAAAGACTGCCACGTGCCTTAGGAATACTGTTTTATCTCCATACTTTGGATGACTTGTTCATTTTTCTCTCCCTCTTTTTCTCTCTGTATATTTATGACCAGAGCAAAAAATGTAAAAAAAAAAAAAAAGTTTGTTACTTTGAATAGTCCTAAAAAGAAAAAAAAAAAGGAAAAAAAATCAAACCCCCTCCAACGGTCGCTTTGTTGTTTTAGAATTTTAAGGTGGAAGTCTGTTCGAATATCAGAATTTGTAAAATCTAACCAGTAATAAAACCACTTATTGAAACTAGTTGGTGCTACTGGTGTTTAGTTAGGTGTGAAATTCACAGGACGTAAGAGTCTTACCGAAGCCCTGAAATAAATTCCAGGGTCTCCCCCTGCTTACCTATAATATTTACTCATAATAATTTATAAATATTTATTTATAATATTGGTGGGGCCCCTCTTTTGTGCCAGACTTTGGGCTGCTTGTTGGGATCCTGAGATGAAGGAGACACAGTCCCTGCCGTAGAGGAATTCAGAGTGGAAGGAGAGACGGACAAGAGATCATCTTAACATGTGTGATATGTACTACGTGGAGAGCATGTAAGTAAATACCACTCATTCATTTATTGTTTCAAATATTAAATAAGCATGCTCTGCTGGATACTTGTGACACAAAGGTCAGAAGTCATTACGCCTGCCTTTTCTGCTCTTCTCTGGGCTGGAAGGGTGTGTCAGGCAATGAGGGGGGGCCTTTCCCCATGAGGAGTGAATGTAATGAATGACACAAAATTTAAAAATCTTCCAAGAAGGTGAAACCAAACTAATTTTTTTCCTTTTCTAAAGGTAACCTCAGAAACCCAGAGAAAAGATGCATCCAGAGGGAATGGAGAATGTGAGCCAGGTGGAATGAGGTTGGAATCTCTACTGTTGAGCAGTGTGAGCTGAGGGAAGTCATGTCACCTCTCCGGGCTTCAGTTTCCTCAGCTGGAGGGTGACGATCATGACCTTACATGACAGCTGTAGTGAGGGTGAAGTAAGGTGTGTTGAAGGGCCCAGCAGAGGGCCTGGCCTATAGTAGGAGCTCAGTATATTTTATGGAGTAAACAAGTGACACAGAGTCAGGACTCTGTAGGTGGAGAGCAGGAATGTGTGTATCCAGGCATTGCCTGTCATTGCTTGATGCATCAAGTAGGTGTGGTGTCTGTCACTGAACATCTCACTCTCTCATTCCTTGCTCTGAGCCCTGCAGTAGGGTCCTCTGTTCCAGCAGCTATCTAGCAAAGTGCCCCACAGTGGCCCATCAGTTTGACAATCCAGAGGGAAAATCATAGCTGCTTTGAGGAGAAAACAGCCAGGCAGAATTGGGCAGAGGAGCAGTACAGCCCAGGACTGTGGTCTCTTTCCCTTTCCTCTGCCATCATGATTGGGACCAGGGGGAAGGGAGTGGAGCAGGAACGGGTTGAGAGTATGTAAAGCCTGAAGTGACTCACTTTCTGAAGTGTTAAAAACATACATGCTCACAAAACACTATTGTTGGTATTGCTCTTCAATGCCTGGCAAACAGTAGGAGCTCAATAAATTTTTGTAAACTTTTATACTGATGTCTAATGTGCATAAAGTGCACACGTCTGAAATGAACAGCTTGATTACTGTTTTTCAAATGAGGACACCCACGTAACCACCACCCAAATCAAGGTATAGGAACTTTACAGCACCCCGAATTCTCCTTTGGGCCCTCCCTGTCAACCCCTCAATAAGGTAGCTCCTATTCTGACTTCTAGTACTGTGGGTTAGTTTTATCTGGTTTGGATCAATACATTTTTGCTGATTGAATTCAGGATTGCCCAAGTTAACCACATTGCCTGGGGTCAGGCAGCTAGTGGTGGAGAGGCCAGAATTTGAACCAGGTCTGACTGCAGACACCCAGCTCTCAGCCTCAAGCAGATACGGTCACAGTCATACATCCAAGCCGGAGGGGTTAAAAGCCTCTACTTTTCTACCTGTCAAATAGGTAATAGAATCCGTGCCTCATTAATGACTGTAAGAGAACGCAATAGGGGGCCTGGCCCGAGGACAGCTGCACAGACACACCACGGCTCAGCGACTCCCAGGGACCCCAGACAGGCACACTCTTGAGGCACTAATGGATGGATAGACCCCCAGGCTAAGGTGCTCACCCCCAGACAGCCCCACACAAAGACGCACATACACAGATCTTGCAGACAGACGTAAACAGGCCCAGGCACTCACGAATACATCTAGACACCCAGACCGCCCCACACAGGGAGACCCGCACACAAACCCAGATGTGCTCACATGCAAGCGTTTGCAGGCACCCAGACGCCCCCGCATAGCCCGGCTGTGCCCCTTGCTCAGGCCTGGACAGAGCTGAGGCCGATCTCTATCTCATCCGTCAGCGCTGCCACCCAGATGGAGCAGGCTCTGGAATGATGCCCGGGGGCCCCCCACCCCCTACAAGGGAGCGACTTCAGAAGCAGGGCCTGCTGTTGGGCCAGGGATAGGGGCGCTGTGGAGGAGGCACTGCTCTCCCCCAGAGTCAGAGACTGAGAGCAACATACACACACAGCGAGATTCTAAAAGAGAGAGAGACAGAGAGAAGGGAAGAGAGGCAGAGAAAGAGTGGGGCACAGAGACAGACAGGGACAGCGACAAAGATACACACAGAGGCAGAGCTAGAGAGAGGCGACAACAGGGGCAAAGACACAGGGCAGAGAGGCAGACAGATCAACAGTAGACGGAAGGAGAGATGGAAGGAGAGAGAACAGCCACAGAGCAGTGAAGAGGCAGGGAGACAGGGACAGAGATAGGGACCCAGGTTAGGAGCGTCAGAGACACAGGTGGAGAGACGATGAGATGGAGAGAAAGGTGGATGGAGATTGGGAAGATTCGGAGATAGAGGGAGACCCTGGGACAGATTCAGAGGGAGAGAGACCAAGACAGAGAGACCGAGCAAGAGAAACAGATGTGGTCGCTTTGAGGCTGGGGAAGAGAAACACTCAGGGAGGGAGAAGGTGAACCAAAGGGACAACAGAAATAAACAGAGACTGGGAGGCACGTACTCGGTGGGGGAGGGACTGAGGCTGGGCTCAGGCTGCCAGCCCAGCTCTGTCCACTGGCGATGGGAGGGAGGGAGAAAGGGCTGTCACCGTTGCCACTTGAGACTCTAGGGCAGTGTCCCCACCTCCCTGCATGCTGGCTGCAGAGGGGACCAAGGGACCATCAACAAGACTCTTTGGGCTCCAGCCTGCTGTGAATATGAGGGGTCTCCTGGTTCTTGGGCCTATACCCAGACCTGGCATTAGGCAATCGGCAGGGGCTGGGGTCTTGACTGTTACTGTCCCCTATCCTGTCCCATCCTACAAAGTCTCCTTTTCCCCAGAGTGGGGAGGTCTGGGGCAGACGGAAGAGACCTTCCACAAGAATTTTGGCAAGGTAATTAGCCACGCTGAACCTCAGTATCTTAACCTGTAAAATGGGGCCAACGGTATCCACCTTGCAGGGGTATTGTTAGAATTCCACAAGAGAATATATACTTGGAATATTCGTGGTTTGACTAAATAGGAGGGGAGCTCCAGGGGAGGTGTGAGGAGTTGTCTCGAGAAGTTGGGAGAGACTCCAAGGAGATGATATTTGAGTTGGGATCTTGGATGAACCAAAGGAGACTGAGTAGAGAAAGGGAGTAGGTGAG